ATTGCTCCAAATCCTTCGGAGAAGGTTCCTCGTGCTCCTTTGCCGCCTTCCCTCCTCCATAGGAGGCCGCGGAAAGCTGGGAGAAGCTGAGACGGGAGTTTCCCATTGCGACCAGCAGCGCTCCTCGCTCTGAGACCTTGGGCCGAGCCGGGCCCCTCCCTAATTGGGCCTTAGTTCCCCTTCAGCTTGGCCAGGAGGAGGATGGATAAACCAGAGGGTTTATGCAGCCCCGCTGACGCGTTTTCCTCTGGACTACTCGCACGCCTGGCCAGGCCAGCACGGGAGATCGTGGCCCGCAAGGATGTCCAGGTTGAGCTGGGGAAGAGAGGTAGAGGAAGAAGCAGAGTTTTCAGGGGACATGATTTTTCCGTTTTCGTACAGCCAGGACTCCGCGGCTTTCCTGGGGGCTCAGCGGGGCAATAATGAGCAGTCCGGGTACAGCGCGGGACCTCGGCCTGGCCTCTAGACCTCGGAAGGGGCATAGGACTTCTGATACGCCTCCCGCGGAGCCCTCTCTCAGCCACCGGCCCGAAAGTCTGGCATCCGATCTAGACCTCGCAAACCCAGGGCTCTGGGTCAGGCAGCGGACCTGCATCGGGTGCAGGGGGTATGGTCCTGTCCCCGAGGCTCAGCGATAAGTGAGTGCCCGTGGGTTGTCCAGGTGGTGGAACTTTGGTTCGATGAACCGAAGCCCCGGTCCCGATAGTCGACAGTCAGGGCGAAGGCTCCCTTTACTCTGGGTCAGGCTGGCAGGTGTCTGGCTGGGCCGAGACGACAGGGCTGGCGCCAGCTCCAGCGGGCTTACTCCCGCATCCGGGGCAGTTGGGCTATATGCACTTAGGGGGCCCCGCGTCCCGGAGTGCGGGCTTCGCTCTCCGCTCTCACCGCGCTCTTTCTGTCTCTGCCCGACTTCTGCAGACGAATCCGCAGCCGATACCGGCCAGAGCTTCCTGTTCGACGTGTCCAGCCTTCCCGACGCCGACGAGGTGGTGGGAGCCGAGCTGCGCGTGCTGCGCCGCGAGTCCCCGGAGCTGGGCCCCGGCAGCGCGACTCCCCTTCCGCTGCTCCTGCTGTCTACGTGCCCCGGCGCCGCCCGAGCGCCCCGCCTGCTGCACTCGCGGGCCGCCGAGCCCCTGGCCGGAGCGCGCTGGGAGGTGTTCGACGTGGCGGACGCAGTTCGGCGCCACCGCCAGGAGCCGCACGCCACCCGCGCGTTCTGCCTCTTGCTGCGCTCAGTGGCCGGGCCCTCGCAGGGCCCGTTGGCACTGCGGTTGCTGGGCTTTGGCTCCCGGGGCAGGGACGGCGCGGCGGCCGAAGAGCGCGCTCTGCTCGTGGTTTCCTCCCGCACGCAGAGGAAGGGGAGCCTGTTCCGGGAGATCCGCGCCCAGGCCCGCGCGCTCGGGGCCGCGCTGGCGGCGGAGCCGCCGCGGGACCCGGGACCCGGCACCGGGTCGCCGACAGCGGTCATCAGCGGTCGCAGGCGGCGGCGGACGGCGCTGGCCGGGGCGCGGGCGACGCAGGGCAGCGGCGGGGGCGGGGGCGCGGGCCGGGGCCACGGGCGAAGGGGCCGGACCCGCTGTAGCCGCAGGCCGCTGCACGTGGACTTCAAGGAGCTGGGCTGGGACGACTGGATCATCGCGCCGCTGGACTACGAGGCGTACCACTGCGAGGGCGTTTGCGACTTCCCGCTGCGCTCCCACCTAGAGCCCACCAACCACGCCATCATTCAGACGCTGCTCAACTCCATGGCGCCGGACGCGGCGCCGGCCTCCTGCTGCGTGCCCGCGCGCCTCAGCCCCATCAGCATCCTCTATATCGACGCCGCCAACAACGTGGTCTACAAGCAGTACGAGGACATGGTGGTGGAGGCGTGCGGCTGCAGGTAGCGTGAGGGCCCGGCCCGGCCAGGGAGGGGGCAGGCAGCCGCGCCACCGAGGACCCCCTGCTGAAGAGCAGCTGTGGGCCGGGGCCTGTCACTGAGCGTGGGTGCGCGTCCGCCTCTGGTCCCGCGCCCGCACGGAGGGAGAGCGCACGTTCACACTCACACCATCACTCACACCCACACACTCGTTCACTCATGCACACCTTTACCGTGGGCAGCGTCCACCAGCCCTGGGAGCAGACGACCTGACGCTACCGAATGACGCTTACCGATGGGGAATGACACATCCCCATCGTACCCGTCGTCCCCTTTTGGAGAGAGGATGGTGTTTGTGGCAGTGTTAACAGTCACAGGCGCTAAATCGGGTAGGAACGGGTTAGGGAATTGGGGGCTCCAGAATGGGTGGACGAGTGGGGGACTGGAGTACGTTTTGTCTGACCCCTTTCTGTTTGCGGCTGAGTGTAGGGGAGCACCTGGCTGGGTGGCTGAGTGTTTGGTGTTACACCCTGGGACCAACTGAACAGCTGTAATGTCCTTTCTGAAGGTGTGCGTGGCATGGAGGCCATTTACTCTGGGAAGGAACCGCTGCAAAAGGCATCTTTTTTCCTTAACTTAAAAAAGTCTAACATGCCCTGTCAGTTTTGAAAGGGAACATTTGTCCGCGGGGAACTACCCAGATCTGTGCATAGGCCAGCACTACCCTTTTTAAAAAAATCAGTTCCAATTAGGAATGATCTAGAATGTGGAAAAAAAAAAGTGTTTTTCTTTTTGGGGGAAGTGAAATGGAGGAGAGTTTTTTAACTGCCAGCCTGATGTGATATGGAGTTGGGGGGTGGGGTGGCATGTGCCAGGTTCTGAAGCTCCTATGGGCAGCTCAAGGAGGTAGCGAGCAAGCCTTGGGGGTGCTGAGGAGGAGGCTTGGTGCAGTGGCTGGGAATGGGGAAAGGCGGGCGGCTCTGCCTATTCCTAGAGACCTGACAGGAGGTTTTGCTAGGGAGCTGGGAAAGAGGCCGGGAGGCGTCTTGGGGCGGGCTTCTGCAGAAGACTCAGGCTTGTCTGCCAGGTAGGCGCAACCGGCTCCAAAGGGTGTGCTCACAATGGGCCAACATGTGCTTGCGCTTAGCTATCAAGTCTGTGTCGGCTCTTACACGCCTTTACAGTGTTGTTGCTGTAGTTTTTGGCAGTGTGATAGTAACGGGAAGTGAAGCTACACAAAAGTGCTTTTGTGAGATTTCAGCTCCCCACAACCCAGTGGTGCAGAGCGGGGAGGAAGTCCCCCCTCCCTCTGCAGCGTGGAGGGGCATTTTCAGTTTGGCTGCTGTGGCCCCTTCGGAAGGGCGTTGGGGGGCCTTGGTGTGGCCAAGCAGAGGTGGAAGCCTGTCTCCCAGTCCCCATTGTTTTATTTGGTTCATTTCTGCCTGGGAGTCCTTTGTGGCTTTGAGGGAAGGAGGAGAAACAATTTGGATTCCACCTGTCCAGGGCTCCGAGGGCTTCTTTGAAAAACCCTGCAGCCCTGCTGGGTACTCCTATTTAAGGCTCTGTTGGGGTTTCTCCTTTACGGTTCCTGGGAAAGGCAAGCATTCCATCCTTCTGGTCTTGGATGGTAAGGTCCATAGATGAGTTATTCAAATTTTAATTCTCAGTGATTTAACGTGTAAGAGAGAGAGAGATATACTGAAGATTTAGACAGCTAATTGACTTAAGGGCCCCACCTGAGTCCTTTTTTATCTTGTAAAATTCCCTCAAAGGAAAATACATTTATAATGTGAATTTATATGCTGTGGCTATGTGAGTAGCTATAAATAATAAGATGTAAGTCTCTTTAGGTTAAAACAAACTTCCCAAAGCGGCAGCTTTGGTATATGCATGGTCCCATTACGTTTGTGGATTTTGCCAGAGAAGCTTCACTTTTCTAAATTGATTTTAATAATTGCATGGTGATTGCCCTGTCATAATGAAGAATAAAAAATGACACTAAAAGGTTGTAGTATTTGAAGTTTTAGAAAGGGAGTTAATAAGAAACTCGCTATTATTCTGAAGAAATTCTAGGTTATTTAATATCTTGGACAAAAGGAAACATTTTGATTCTTTTTTAGTGACTAGGAAAAACAAGTTTTGGGGAAGCCATGTTTTGATTTAGCCTGAGCTTTTTTTGCGGCAAGAAAAAAATGTCCGTTTTCTTTGTTTCTTCCTAATGACCTCCTTCCATCGAGATGTGTTGTAAGTGATGTGGGAAGTACGCATCTTCCTATGTCTTGAGGTCCAGGCTGCATCATGTGTCCTTGGGCAGTGACAGCTCCTTCCAGGGTCTCAGATGCCCTCAGGGTGTTCTTGTTTACTGAATGGAAGGAATGCCTCCCGGAATTGCTCTGGAATTGGGTGGAGCCACCACAGACCACCTGTGCCCTCTACAACTCTGCCTGGGCCTCTGGCATCTTAGAGTTCAAAGCAGGTGAACAGAGAAGATGTGTCACACCTTGTAAAAATGACAGCAAAAGGGCCACCGCTTCTGGGTTTTGCTGCTATGATGTGGTTCGACCAGCGTGGCCAGGATTTGGAGAAGGATTCTGCCAGCACGTTTGGTAGTATGGTTCTGTCTTCTAGGCAGTGGGGTACCGGCGGGGGGGGGGGGGGGGGGGGGGGGGGCGGCCGAATCACTCAGCTGGGAGCCCCAGTCCCCAGCCATGGGAGAGCTGGCTGCTGGCAAGCAGAGAGAAAGTGTGTCAGGACTGTGAGTGAAGGCAGCCCCCCACCCTATCCCGGCTTGGGCCCCCTGGGTCTAGGGCCACCAAAATATTCTTCCTAAAGTACGTCGAGTTTTCCATTTTGTGGGGAGAGACTTGTGTATTCTAGCTGAGACCATTTGAACCACTCCTCCTTGCTGGAGAACAGGGTGGGCATCCCTGCTTGGGGAGTACAGGGCTGGTCAGCTGGGGCGTTGGTGCCTGGTCTGCCAAACACGAGGACAGGCTAGTCACTGCTTCTGGAAGCCAGACATTTCCACTGGCAGACAGCTGTGTCCACTGATGCCCAAATGGTTCCCTGGTTGAATTCTGGCGTTCCAAGCAGCAGCACTGGGCTCTCCCGAGAGGGTGGCAGGCTCTGTTGCCTTAGCTTGAGCTCTGCCCCTCCATTATGTACACACTCCCCTTCGCCCTGGCGTCCTGGCATTTCACTATCAGTGGCATGGGAAAAAGAAGAGCTGTGGATTGTGTGAAGTCGAGTCAAATCCAGCAAACCCAGTGCAGTGTCAGGTCCCCTGACAGTCTCCTGGAAGTGTCAACAGGACTGGGGCTCTTGCTGTCAGTGCTGAGGGGAGTATAGACCACCCTGTGGATGTAATCAGAGTGTAACTCAAATCCTACAAGTCATTTATCCTGTTTGTAATTTTATTCAGACTCATAGCAGAAAATAACCCGGGACTGTAGACTGATTTTCTTTCTTAAAGCAGGGAGAAAAATTGAATTCTTTCCAAGAGGAGCTTGTGCACAGAAAAAGGCAGACTCTCGCCTCATTTGAATCTGGTGTCCAGAAAGTCCGATGAGAAGAGAAAGTACAGCAGCTGTGTCTGGGACACAAACATCGTTAGGGCCTATGGCCATGGGGACGCAGAAGTGTCCCCAGGCCCAGAAAGCAGGGCCCTCTCAGTGGGCCTGGGCCAGGAGCCTCCAGCGGATGCCAGGTGGCTTGGGAGCACCGAGGGTCTGGAAAGCAGCCATCTGTCAGAGGCAGCGAAGGACCTGCGTTGTCCCCCCAGGTGTCTGGACTGGGAAGGAGAGGCAGCTGGCAAGTGAACCCAGCAGTTAGAAGACGTTGGGATTGGGATGGGAGGGACTAGGTCTCTCTGAGGTCTGTCTCAGCAGCACTGGTGTATCTGTGGACTTCTGCACACCCAGGAGTGAACTGCCCCATGCTGTCACCTGCTCTCTGACTGCTGCATGGTCACTTGGGTGCCAGAGCTCTGCAAGGCACCTCCTGAGAGGTCTGGGTCAGTCTGGGCAACCATCTCCCTGCCCGGAGCTCCCACTTCCGCCCCTGTAAAATGAGGAGCTCTCCAGTTCCGTGGGTCTAGGGTTCGACTTGGTCCCAAAGCCCACTAACATAGTTCACAGGCAGAGCAGATGTGACTGTTCCTGGAAAGGGTCCCCTTCCGATATCGTAGGTGCTTCTCACAAGTATCACGGCTCTTGCCTGTGTGTACATGTATGTGTATGTGTGTGTCCATTACACTCCTGGCCTCTGTTGGTGCTTCCTGGATGTGGCTTTGATTTCTACCTAGGTCAAGGCAGGTGCAGGAGAGGCTAAGATCTCGGGGGTAGAGCTCACCTCCCCAGAGCCATGACCTTTCCTGTGTCCCAAGTGAGGGACCTGTGCTCACACAGGGGTAGATAGAGCCACATCTGCTGAGACTGTTCTGTGACCAGATCCTGCGAAGGCTGTCCCCTGCTGCTGGTGCATCTGTGGGAGCAGCAGAGGAAAGAAAGTCTGGGCCTTGCTGGCAGCCCAGACAGGGACCTGGGACTGTCCCAGAGTCCCTGGAGGAGGCAAGCAAGCCTATGTAGGAGTGAAGTGCGCCAGCCCTCCTCACTGCCATGCCTGTGTCTGGTCCAGCTCGCTGGAGGAGTGACCTGGGGGCAGGCATCAGGACAGCTTCTTCTTCTCCTCTTTCTTTCAGGACAGCTTCTTTTCTTTCTTTCTTTCTTTCTTTCTTTCTTTCTTTCTTTCTTTCTTTCTTTCTTCTTTCTTTATTTCTTTTCTTTCTCTCTTTCTCTCTCTCTCTCTTTCTCTCTCTCTCTTTCTTTCTTTTTTTCTTTCTTTCTTTCTTTCTTTCTTTCTTTCTTTCTTTCTTTCTTTCTTTCTTTCTTTCTTTCTTTCTTTCTTTCCTTTCTTTCTTGCCTGGATAATGGTGGCAGAGTTTACCGTGAAGAAACACTAGAAGGGAGGAGTCAAAAGATGTTATTCATAGTTTTTCAGACAGCTCTGCCTTTTGTGCCTGGAGCCTTC